TCCTTTGGAGCAAAGTACATGTTTATGCGGTTGTGTGGTAAAACACACTAGAAAACTAATTCTATATTTGCAGAAGGTGAGATATAGTGTAGATTTTAGCCAGATCCCTTCTCTGATCCTCTCCACCTTTGTAAACTCCTGTGCAGGCACTTCTAAGGCATCATGAACATACAGCTGAGTGGAGGGCTAGAGGAAAGGATCTAAACTTATGTTGATTTAAAGCAAATATGGAATTAAGCAAGGTTAGGAAAATTAAAGGTTTCCTCTCTCGGTGTGAGCAGATATCTGTATTACTGTGGGGTTACAGATTGATTTAGCTCAGCCAATCTAATGTCCAGTCTGTTGAAATGGGTAGTAATCTTCATCCCACCATACACATATTTCTTTGTCTGAGTTAAAATGTGTTTAACCTCATGGTGAGCTAACCTATAAAAATATTAAAAAGTTGTTTTGCTTTTTTTTTTTAAGCTTTATTTTTGGGGGTGAGGAGTAGGTTTGCATGGGGAACATTGGGGGCTGCGGGCAGGGTTAGTTTCTCTTGTTTTCACTTTCAGGACTGCTTTAGCAGCAGTCTCAGGCATTTGGAGCACATTCTGCAGGATACTGTAGAAGCTAAAAAATACATTCCTTCAAAAAGAGATTGTAACATATAAATATTCAGTTCATACCCTTAGCAAATTATTTTACCTGTACAGACAGGGTGCCTACACGATGAAGGTTTTTTTTAAACTTAGGCTATGGTATTTTTTTTTTTTAAGGTTCCTCTAGTTGGATGAGTTGTCTCTAAAGGCAAATTGCAGCATCTCTATAGGAAAGAAATAAGAAACTTATTATGTAGAGCCTCCCAGATTCTGACAGCCATTGAGCGGGTGATTGCATCTGGATCATCATATTTAATACATATCTATTAATTTGTCTAAATTCCTTCTTGAAAACATTTATATTTTCAGCCTCTTTAAGATTGTGCAATAATTGTTCCATAATTGAATTACAGACAGGGTGAAAGTGTACATTCTTTTGTTTTACTTTAAGCCTGCTGACTGCTTATTTCTTTGAACTTTCTTCATGGTTTATGAGATGGAGAATGATTATCCACAGTTTTTTCACAGTATTGCTACTTTTAGAGGTCTTTCTGGTATTCCTCTTTCACTTATCTCTCTTCCAAGCTGAAGGTCTCTGAGATATGTATCGCTTTTCCAAACAAAACACTTCTGATTTTGTCTTTGTTACAATTTTCTAGTTGTTCTATATATTTTTTATTGTCCATACTTGAAGTTGTAGGATGTTCACAGAATTTAGTTGGATTTTAATAGGAATTTGGCTGATGATGTCTCCTGTTCTATCTGTTCCTAGTAAATCGTTCCATTGTGATTACCTTTTAGACTGTTGATAAGTATTGGAGAGCTCCATAGTGAAGGGTAAGCTACTTTTTTAAGGGACAGACTGTAAGAGATGAGAGGCCATCACTGAGTTTCAGCCACTGATAAGGTATGCTGGGTAATGCTTATCTGTAGAAGTTGCTGTCAGAATGTCATGAGGAACTCAAATCTTATTACTCTTAAAGCAGATTTACTTAGAACAGATGATATTGACTGAAGAGAGGATAGCAAAAGGCATAAATGAAGTCTAGTAAAGTAAAATCCATTCTGCATTTAAAAAAGAGATACAGTAATGCTGGAGGAAGGATTTTATTTTTTAAAGAAATGATCAGTACAGTTAACATTTTTTACCCCCTGGTTTTTGTGTACTCTGACTTCTTGAAATATTTGTCCAGAGAAACAGTTAGGAAAACCTTTCCCTTCCTTTATGGCATCTGATATTTTTAATGGAAAACCAGACCTTGTATCTGTTTGCCTCGTTCTTGCGCTTTTCCTTGACCTGTGGATGCTTTTAGAGACAGAAATATTGAGGGCATTCTCTTGGGATGTGGGATATGTGGGTTCACTATCTATTGGGTGGAGCTTAGAAATCAAGTTTCTCACTTTCTGGACATATGTATTAGTCATTAGTTTATGATATCGTAGTGTTTGCTGTGGCTACTGGTCCATTACTAACCCATACTTAGGCGGCATCCCAAGTGGATGGAGGCATCTAAAGTTTCTTGATGCTTCTGTATTTCCTAAGGGTAGAAAGTAACAGCCTAGCACGAGGGGGTGTGATTGCCTCCTGTGAGCGAGTGCACTATCAGTATGTTCAAAGTATTGGATCTCCCTCTTTAGGTTTTTAGAGGTATTTGCCTCTCTAGTAACTGCATAGGGAATTTAGAGGCAGTAACGCTGGGATGACCTGAAACATTCTGTCCACTTCAAGTATGCAAGATACTGGTGAGTTAGTACTTTTCTAGTCCACCTAATTTAAGTGATTAGTATTTTATATTAATAACACAAAAGTCTATTATCAAGAGTCTTTTCTGGAAATGCATAAACATCTTGAAAGGCAGAAGGGCACAGAGGAGATTTAGTGCAGAGCATTTAATGAGGATCTTTGTCTCACACTCAGGAAACAGGAGACCTGAGTTAGCCATGCATGTCAAGCAGTTCAAGATCCATTTTCTTCGAAAAGTCATTCTACATATAGAAGAATTTGCTTCTGTTTTAAAAATATTGAAGTATGGGAACACTGGTCTGGTGTCTAATGTGTTATCATCTTTATACTGAACCCACTGATTGAATCATGTCTCCTGTACTGTAATGACAAGCTCCCATCTCACTGAGCTACTGAAGTGCAATTTGGGAGGTGTAGTCCTG